GGAAAGAGACTGCCTGCTGGAGCGAGAGTGAGCGGGATGAGGTGGGTTTTAAAAATTACATTAAAAAACCAAATTAAAATATATAAAGAAAAAACTTTACGAAGAAAACGACATTAAAATTAAATTTTTATGTACAGAGTACGAAACGCATTGACTGGTTGGCAGTGAGATGTGGGGAGAGAGGAGGAGAAGACGGGTTATCGGGGGAATCCGGTTTAATTAATTACCGATCGATTAGTTTTCCAATCTCCGTTGGTGATTTGGAATTTGGGCCATTAAGAGTTATCTCATTCCCTTGTTTCCTCGGCCCACATCAGTGGCATTTCTGTCATTCCACCTCGCATTTATACATTGTAATTAATGAGAAAGCTCCAAGTCTCTGCCTCTTGGCCTTTAATGCAAACGCTTTTGTCCCCTTGGGGTTCGGGTTTTGTTCATAGAATTCAGGAAATAAAAATACGAGTGACGGACAAAATACACAAGTTTAAAAACAATCAGATTCAATGAGAATAGGGAGTCCGAATTGGTGAAAATGAAGGGGCAATCTCTGTTTTTTTTATTCAGCCTTCTCTCTCCATTTGCTAAATAAATATTCACGTATCGGTGAAAATTAACACTTGATTAAAAAAAATTTTGAATCCCACTATAGGGATCATAAGCCATCCAAAAATTTTGAATTTTATGTTAAAGTAAATTTTGAATCTTTAGATAGATTTCCTTGCCCTTTATTTTGAAATTTTGATTTGGGGAAAAAAACAGAGGAGGAAATCTATGATTTTATTGCTTTTCCGTTTGGTAAAATAAGATAAAAAAAAATGATGGGCCCAAATATGGGGCCCATTAACTTTCAAAGACCCGAATTAAAGGAAGCTCGGGTCATTTTTTTACATGGCCTCCATGTTCTCTCTCTCTCTCTCCTCCTACCCACATCGTTCAAAGTTCAAACGTCGCCGTCGAGGCACATCCCCGAAATCTAGACAGAGGCTCTTTCGGAGCTCCGAATCGAAGCCCTAGAATTTGGGGATTTTCTATGTGAATTCGGTCGTTCAGTGTCCTTGCCTCTGTTTGCGTGTGTGTGTATCTGTCTGTGTATGTGAGCGATAGAGATGGCGGGGAGCAATTCGCTAGCAGGATTGCAAGATCACTTGAAATTAGCGAGAGAGTACGCGCTTGAAGGGTCCTATGACACTGCCGTCATCTTCTTCGATGGCGCCATTGCTCAGATCAACAAGTAAGTATTTCCCTTGATCTCTCCCCCTGATTTTTACCGCCGCCATTAGCGATTTTTTTTTAAACCTCGAGCTGGGTTGACTTATCTATCCGGATTGTTGAAATGGGGTTGTTGAGATTGTTGCTCCTAGAATTCATTTTCTGTTCTTTTTGTCTTGGGGATTTAGGGTAGCATCTATTCTTCTGATTTTGGTTTTAATTGGACAAATTAAGCTCGATTTCTGCAATGCTTCAGTGTTTAATAATAGACTCGGGGACTGAAGGTTCCTAAAGTATCCCATTTCTGTGGAGTGTAAACTGGATGATACATAGCCCTGCTAACTAGATCAGATTTCTTTGGTGAGCAATGGGTTGGTCAATGAAATGTCTAAGGAGAGATTAGCAAGCATAATATGCATTTTATGTGTGCATTGATGGTGTTATGAGGTTCTCATGTTGTGCTACATGTTTCAGGCATTTAAGCACGCTTGATGATCCTTTGACGAGGACAAAATGGATGAACGTTAAGAAAGCCATCATGGAGGAGACCGAAGTCGTAAAGCAGTTGGATGCAGAGAGAAGAGCATTCAAAGAGGCTCCGACTGGACGACGTGCTGCTTCTCCGCCGATCAATCCGAAATCATCTTTTGTTTTTCAGCCATTAGATGAGTATCCAACTTCATCTGGTGGTGCCATGGATGATCCTGATGTGTGGAGGCCCCCTACTCGGGATGTGACAAGCAGGAGACCCGCGAGGGCTGGTCAAACTGGTATGCGTAAATCACCCCAAGATGGGGCTTGGGCCCGTGGTTCTACAAGGACAGGTGCGACTTCTCGTGGTGGAAAGGCTGGAGGTACAGGAAAATCTACCACCGCTGGTGCCCGCTCATCCACTGCTGGAAAGAAAGGCGCTGGCTCAAAAGCCAGCAAGACAGACTCGACAGTAAGTTTGTTAGACATAAAAGCACCAGAATTGTTTGAGTTTTTGTTTGTTGTAGCAGCATGCTGTTTCTGCAAATAGAATGGGTAATGGAAATTGTCCACGAGTCGTATGTGAATTATGTATGGAATCTTTTAGCCTAGTTGTTTTGGGTTTTTGGTGATCAAAGGAAATTCTTGATAGCTTTTAAGATGTGTTTTATTTTATTAGTAGGGGCTGACGGTTTTTCAAACATCCTGAAACTGAGTCATAATATGAGACTTCGGTTGGTGATCCAATTCTTTCACCTCTCGTATAGTGTCCAATCTGACTTGGGTTTTTGGTGAAAAGCTAATGGTGATATTCCATATCATGAGACTTAGGATTGGTGTTCCAACTTCTTCTGTGGTAGTGAAGACGTTATTTTCTTCATTAGCATCTTTGTATCGTTTGACAATAAATATGTTAGTTTCCTCATTGATCTATGTTATGTATCAGAATGGGGATGCTGAAGATGGGAAATCGAAAAGGGGACAATATGAAGGACCTGATCCAGACTTGGCTGATATGCTTGAAAGGGATATGTTGGACTCAACTCCCGGCGTCCGTTGGGATGATGTTGCAGGTTTGTCTGAAGCTAAAAGGTTGCTTGAAGAAGCTGTTGTCCTTCCTCTTTGGATGCCCGAGTACTTTCAGGTGCCATATATGGATTGGTCTTTTAGCCCTTCTTATAGGTTTTGACGATAAAGAAATTATCCAAGAGCGATGAAAGAATCGGTTCATGATATCCCATATTTTCTCTTTCTTTTAACCTGCTATATGATGAGGAGAATCTTATTGTTTTTTCTTTCTTTCTAATTCCTTTAGGGTATTCGAAGACCGTGGAAAGGTGTTCTAATGTTTGGGCCTCCCGGGACAGGTAAAACACTTTTAGCCAAAGCGGTTGCCACTGAGTGCGGTACCACATTCTTCAACGTATCTTCTGCTACTTTGGCCTCAAAATGGCGCGGAGAGAGTGAGCGCATGGTCAGATGCCTGTTTGATCTGGCCAGGTCTTATGCCCCTAGCACAATTTTTATCGATGAGATTGATTCTCTTTGCAATGCTCGGGGGTATAGTTGCTTCTAACACCGACATCCTGAATACAATCTGTTATTTTATCCTCTCTTTTTTCCTTCTAACATTTGTGTTTCCTTGTCTATAGTGATATGTCTGACTGAAACATGGTGTGTGAACTTATGTAGGGCTTCTGGAGAACATGAATCGTCGAGAAGGGTTAAATCCGAACTTCTGGTTCAGGTAGATGGTGTGAGTAATACGGCCACAAATGAAGATGGCAGTCGCAAAATAGTAATGGTGTTAGCTGCAACCAACTTTCCATGGGACATTGACGAAGCTCTGAGGTCCTGTCCTTGATTCTTCTTCAGGTTCAAGCTGTTGAAATGGCACTGTTGACTATATGTCATTCATATTATTCATCATTAATAAATGTGCAGGAGGCGGCTGGAAAAACGTATATATATCCCTCTTCCAGATTTTGAAAGTCGCAAGGCACTTATCCGGATCAATCTGAGAACAGTCGAGGTTTGTTAACATACACTTGCATTAGAGAGGAAGAGTTGGTGAATTTGACCTCCGGCCTAAGTTTATAGATTTGCAGACCATCTGAAACTGCCGAAAATATTCGAATAATGAAACCCATTTATCTGAATCGATCAGTGTAGTGGGGCACTTCGATCCAATAACATGGATAGTTGATTTCAGGTGGCGACTGATGTTGACATTGATGAGGTAGCTCGGAGAACAGAGGGTTACAGTGGAGATGATCTGACAAACGTATGCAGAGACGCGTCTATGAACGGAATGAGGCGTAAAATCGCGGGGAAAACAAGGGACGAGATAAAGAACATGTCAAAAGACGAGATATCGAAGGATCCAGTTGCAATGTGCGATTTCGAAGAGGCCCTGAAGAAGGTTCAACCGAGTGTCTCTGCCACCGATATCGAGAAACACGAGAAGTGGTTCGCCGAGTTCGGTTCCGCTTAACTGTCAAAACACATTTGGACGTTGTGTTCTGTTCTGTGTGCAATCCCATTTTGCTCATTGTTATTTTTGTTACGGCATCGTCTTTCTTTGTATGTGTTCTCTTAACGTTTGTCATGTGCGTCCTTTGTCTTTCTCAAAAATGATTTCAAGTGTATTGCAATCTAATGTCTCTTAATTTCTTCCAAGTTTGTACCAAATATGTTGATTTTTGTTTTAATAATTTCGCGGAAATTGTCTTTTGGCAATTAAATAGCCTCGGAAAAGTATTTGACCAATATCATCTTCATCATCATCTTTTTTTTATATATTGTCTGTTGGAAGAAACTCGCAATTAAATACTCCTTCCGTTTCAAAATATTTTATAGTTTTAGATTATTTTTTATATTTCGAAATATTTGTCATTCTACATTTTCAAGATATTTTTTTACAATAGTTTCTAATTTTATCTCTGTCAAATTCCGATATACTGTTAATGATAACATTGTTTTTATCATCAAATAATGGTATATGTGATTTTTTCTCTCTTTTCTTAAAAAATGTGAAGTAACCTAAAACAATTAATATTTTGAAACGGAGGGAGTATAATGGAAACAATTTTAAATATTACCATAAATGTAATTTATATTCTAATCATAAGTGTTTGTGTAGAATGTTTAAAATGTTCAATCTAGTGTACTCTTGTTTTATTTTATTTTTCTGTCATAGCTAGAAATTTTGTTAAAAATTATTCATTTAATATATGTAATAGATCTTTTTTGTATTTTGAAGAATTTTATTATTTTATCCACGACATATTTAAATATTTTGATATTATATTATTTTGTAATTCTATCTTTTTCACATTCAATTACGGAGAGCTAATAGCATTTCGGTCTAAATACGAATCCACAGTCAATACAATAAGATGGGATGAATCAGTAATAAATAATTATTAGGAATTGGACGTTGAAACATGGGTAGAGATCCAAAATAATATTTTATTGAAATAGTGATAACATTAAAGACTAAGGAATTCCTATCCGTTAATTTTACAGCTAAGAAAGCTTCCATCTACGAAGAAACGATAAAGGGACCAAAACTCTGCATCTCTCCCTGCGCATTGGGAACTGCTGCTGCCCTTTCTGTACATTTCCCACCGCAAAATAACTCCTATAATAATGCGTTTTCTTGGACCGACCACGGAAAGTTTGATTAGAATTTCTTCGCTGTGTTTTAGGAAAACTCTCTAACAAAATGCGAAAGCATACATCTTCAATTTCTTGATCTACCAACCACATAACGCAAATGAATTTTGTTACGTATTATATGTTACGAATCATCATAAAATAATCTTCCACAAGCTTATGTTAGTTGATCTATAAGAAAATTCCATCGAGGGTATTTTATTCTAATGTTGCGGTTATAGTTTATTTTGATGAAATAGAAAATATATATTTAATTTACAGCTGTAATTTATATATTCTTGCAGAATCATGAAAAAAAATTACTCTAAGATATGACAATCATGTTATAAGAAGATAAAGATCAAGCAAAAAAAAAAAATCAATCCGGTTATATATGTTTTAACCGGTTCCAGAAAGTCCGGTTTACTGTTCAATCCAGTCGATTTACCACGGTTTTTCAAAAAACCGAGAATCGCATACGTGGCAAAAAATTTCTGACCTGGCCGTACACGTCACATGCTACGTTGGACAGGTCAACGCGGTTTTTTGACCAATTAATCTTAAAGACAGTTATAGAACGGTTTAACAAGTTCACTAATTAACATGTTCAATTTTGTAAGTTTAAAAAGTAATAGGCACCTCTATAAGTTCATAATTTTATATTATACTAAATTAAAAGTTGAGAAATTTTGAAAGTTTTTTTTCTAAAAAAATTACTCTAAGATATCAAAAATCATGTTATAAGAAGATAAAGATCAAGCAAACAAAAAAAATCCAAGTGCGAATTGGGTAAGGATGGTGGCAACTTTTGACTTGTTATGTGCATCATCTCGAAACTCCCACAAACCCACAGATATATATATATATATATATATATATATATATATATGTATGTATATATATATATATATATATATATATAATTGGAGCG